ACCTCATGAAGGTCCTTCCAAACTTTTTACACACCATTGGAAATGTTCACATCTCCCATTACCTGTAGGGCATCTTCAGACAGTATTTGCGCACATTGAATCCCTTGCCTGGTGCTTATCAATATCTCACTTGAAAGTATAGGCAGACTGTTTCAAGAACATTTGTCTGTGCTTGTGAACTGCATAATACTTTGATTACTATTTTCATGTTTACACTTACTTTTTGACTTCTAGGACCTGCAAATACAACTGATTATCCTGAAGACATACCAGCTGTGGAACGCCTGACCCAGGAAGTATTACTTCTTTGGGAAAAAGTTGCTTCAGTAGAATTCCAGGGTCAAAAAATACCAGGAAACCAAAGACAACAGGTAAGTTATTGGAATATGGACTCACTCACACACATACACACACACACTCTCTCTCTCTCTCTCTCTACCCCCCCATCTCTCTCTCTCTCTCTCTCTCTCCATATATATATATATATATATGTCTCACTGTGTCACCCAAGCTGGAGTGCAGTGGTACAATCCCACTGCAGCCTCAAACTCTTGGGGCTCAAGGAATCCTCCTGCCTCAGCCTCCTGAGTAGCTGAAGCTGCAGGTTCGTACCACCACACCCGGCACAAACCTTGTTTTTCTACTGTGAAATAAACCGTGGTATTGGCTTTTCACAAATGGTATTTCATCGGGAAACTGCTCTGAAGCTTCCTGCTTTGGTTGTTAGCGGCTATAGATGCCTCTTTCTGACGTGTGGTTCTGTAAAGAGCAGCAGCTCTTTTGGACACATACCAATAGTTATCCCTCACACTCATATGTAAGTCATCTCCCTCTCAACTGAATCTTTTTCCTCTGTCTGTATTTAACCATGTTCAAATTTCTCCCAGTTGAAAAAAAGAAAGAAACCCCTGCCTTTGCCCTAACTTTCTTTGTAGCTACAGCCCATTTAACCTTTCTTTTCCAAAACTTACTTGCCTGTACTCCATCTCCATTAGCATCTCTCTTACTAGCTGCTCACCCCACTCCATTCTGGCTTTCAACTGTACCTTCAACAACTCTCTGTTGGTTATACATGATCATAGCTCATTATCTTTATAGCAGTATTACACTCACAATGACACACGTCTATGATTAATGAACGTCTTTTTCCTCCACTAGATAGGCTTTCCCTTAGAACCTGGAATGGAGTCTTTCCCATGGAAGGTGCTCAGTAAATATTTATTGAATGAATGAAAAATACTGGTAACTCCTATTATATGTTTCCCTCTTGCCTGTCCTGCTTCCCTCTTACTCCTTTCTCTTAGCTGCTTTCCTGTGCTTCTAGCTTCTCTCTCCTTTTTATTCTTTTTGCTCCCATGTTTGAATTCCAATTTACAGAGTTTTAAAGATTAAAAGAAATATATGACGTTGATTTGAAAACTGTACAATACTATCAAAAGCTTAAGTACTAAGATAGTGGTCTTTTTAAGTCATAGTACGTGCTAATGCATTTTCCTGCTTCTCGGGAAAACTATGCAATACTATCAAAAGCTTAAGTACTAAGATAGCAGGCTTTTTAAGTCATAGTACGTGCTAATGCATTTTTTTTGTTTCTCAGGGTTAACTGTGGCTTCATGTCTCACTGCGCCATTTATGTATTGCCTCTTCTCTCTCCTTTTTGCAGTTGCTGCTGATGCTAGAAGGACTACTGAACAGAGTTGGCTCAGTGAGGACTTACAAGCAAAGAAACAGCTCTCTAGCAGTCTGGTAAAGTTCCATGCCTATCCAGAGGTAAGAGAATGGCTATTTTTCCTTTTATTCTTTGTTGAAATTTTTATTTCTTTTACTATTGTATTCTCTTTATGCCTTTTCTTTTTAATTAAGTGCAGATGCTTATGATACTGAACAGGGGATTAAAAACAGGGACAATTACTGGGGCTACCCATGTTATCATTTGTTTTATGGATTGCTCTGAGTCTTGGTGTCAAAATCTTAAGTCAGGAATAGTGCCTGTTTCACACAGCAATTGCAGAGATTAAATGAGAAGACAGCTTTGGTGTCCAAAACAATGCCTTGCATATAGTCAGCACTCAATATATGTTCCCTTCCTTTTGTGATCCATGTCCTGTTAAAGGCTGTTCTGTTGTAAAAGTAAGGCTACACCCTGTCTCTACTGAAAATACAAGAATTCGCAGGACATGGTAGTGTGTGCCTGTGCGGTCCCAGCTACTCGGAAGGCTGAGGCAGGAGAATTCACTTGAACCCAGGAGGTGGATGTTGCAGTGAGACAAGATCGCGCCACTGCGCTCCAGCCTGGTGACAGAGACACTCCATTTCAAAAAAAAAAAAAAAAAGGTCGGGCTGTAAAGGGCACTGATATTTATTTGATATCATTGAAGAAAGTATATTAATTCTGATGGCTAATATCACCCCGAGACCACCGATACCCATCATGACGAATATATTTTCTTCTACCTCTTGATTTTTGGTCGTATATATGATACCTCTCTGGATCATTTTATATTTTCTTTTTTTCCTCATTTTGTCTTCTCTTTTAGCACATTTTACTCTTTTTCACTTTTTGTTTTTTACTATTCAGTTTTTTTCTGATTTATTGTTGGGCTTTAAAAATGTTTTCTGTGTACCAGGAAAATGAAGGCAGAGGAAAGGTATGATAGGACCAGTTGTTTTTGTGACTTTTTTTTTTTTTTCTCAGAATAGCGATTTATTAGAAAGAGAGAGAGAGTCTCCAGATAAGTTTGGGGTTTTTTTGAGTTAGAGTCTTGCTCTGTTGCCGAGGCTGGAGTGCGGTGGCACAATCTTGGCTCAGTGCAACCTCTGCCTCCCAGGTTCAAATGATTCTCCCGTCTCAGCCTCCTGAGTAGCTGGGATTACAGGTGCATACCACCATGGCTGGCTAATGTTTGTATTTTCAGTAGAGACAGGGTTTCACCATGTCAGCCAGGCTGGTCTTGAACTCCTACCTCAAGTGATCTGCCTGCCTCAGTCTCCCAACGTGCTGGGATGATTACAGGAGTGAGCTGCCAAGCCAGCCTCCAGATAAGATTTGCGTCAGTACACAGAGTAAAGCAGATGGTGCTCACTAATGAGGGTGGGTCTCAGCCAATCAGTTGAAGATATGAATAGAACAAAAAGTCTGAGTAAGAGGGAATTCTATTTGCTAACTGCTAGAGCTTGAATGTTGGTCTTTTCTTTTCTTTCTCTCTCTCTTTCTCTATTTTTATTTTTTTTGAGATGAAGTCTTGCTTTGTTGCCCAGGCTGGAGTGCAGTGGTATCATCTTGGCTCACTGCAACTCCACCTCCCAGGTCCAAGCAATTCTCCTGCCTCAGCCTCTCGAGCAGCTGGAACTACAGGCACACGCCACCACGCTCAGCTAATTTTTTGTATTTTTAGTAGAGACGGGATTTCACCATATTGGCCAGGCTGGTCTCAAACTGCTGACCTCATGAACCACCCACCTTGGCCGCCCAAAGTGCTGGGATTACAGGTGGGAGCCACCGTGCCCAGCCGACATTGATCTTTTCTGGCCATTGGACTCAAGCTGAAATACTTGCTCTTCTTGTGTCTTCAGCCTGCCAACTTTCAGAAGAGAACTTACACCATCGTCCCTCCTGGTCCTCAGCCCTTCAGTCTCCAACAGCAGCTATGCCGTCAGCTCTCCAGCTTGCTGCCTGCAGATCTTGGGGCTTCTCAGCCTCCATCGTCACATGAGCCAATTCCTTCTAATAAATCTCTTTCTGACATATATAAATCTCCTATTGGCTCTTTTTCTCTGGAGAAGCCTAATACAGTGGGGCCATGGAGCATCCCAGAGAGAAAGTAAGGGTGAAGCAGGGAGCCCCATCCTAGTAGCTGGATCCTAGGGCCCTCCCAGAGTGTTCTCTGAAGAAGTCCCAAGTCCTACCTAGAATCTCAAAAAAGGCAACAGAGCCCAGGAATGGCTTCTAGATCCATAGAGGAAGGGGTATGGCTGGGTGACTTTCCACACTTGTCTGAGCTCTTTCTCCAGCAAGAAGACCCGAAATCTATCACCCCGTGTCCCCTGCTCCAGCCCCAGGGAAACCTGGCTTTGCGGCTGCGGCTGAAGTAGGCACCTACCCCCACTCCCCATCACCCCGGCATCCCCGTAAGAAACACATCTTTGTTGGCTCAGTTTGCGAGCAGGAAGTTCAGAGGGTCACAAATGATCATTCCTCCCTGCAAAGAAAACGGGGGCTAATTATTAGGAGCCCAGGTTGGGTGGGAAGAGGAGTCACGTGAGACTGTGTGGCGAGCCTGTCCAAGCCCCCCATTTCTCAGAGAAGGTCAGGCTGCACAGATGGAGTCCATGAAGGATGACTGGCCTCCCCAGGCTGATAGCTGGTGAGGAAACCGTGGGCGCTGACTCGTAAACCCAATGGATCAATATTTATCAGGCAAACAAGCTTTCCTCTGGTCCATCTGTCATCCAAAGAAACGTTCTAGCCAACACCAGAGGGATCCAACACTGATGGATGCAACAAGGCGCAAGAGCCACTATCACTTTCCCTGTTCTGGGTCCCCTCTCTAATGGGCTCAGTGGGACAGAACTGGACCCCCAACACCAAGAGGGAAATATGGAATGGGGATGGGGACACTGCTCCCCTGCTGAGCCACAGCAGCTGGGATGATTATTATGAACTTCTTAGTTCATCATAAGGTTTGGCCCCTGCTGTAGGCAGGTCCACAGGTCAGCTGGAGCAGACTCTTTTATTCTCTGCTGCAAAGATCCTCAGACTTTAATGTGAATCAGAGTGACTAGGCATACTTGTTAAAGTGCAGATTCTCGGGTGATACCAGGTCAGATTTTGAGGTGGTCGGGACCAGGAACCTGGGCTTTGTTTCCTTTGGTCTGTTTTGAGACGAGGTCTCACTCTGTTTCCCAGGCTGGACTCCGGTGACTCTATCACGGCTCAGTGCAGCCTTGACCTCCCGGGCTCTAGTGGTCCTCCCACCTCAGCCTCCCAAGTAGCTGTGACTACAGACGCATGCCACCACACCTGGCTTTTATATAATCTTTTTTGTAGAAATGGATTTTGCTAGGTTTCCTAGGCTGATCTCAAGCTCAAGCAATCTTTCTGCCCTGATCTTACAAAGTGTTGGGAATACAGGTGTCAGCCAACATGCCCAACCTGGAATCTGTATTGAAACACCTCCCCAGGTGATTCTGATACAGATGGTCCAGGAGCACTCTTGGAAAGTCCTTGCTTCCCTGCCCATCCTCCTCTGTTCCCAGTGGCTCCCTACAGCAACTGCTTGGCCTTTGGCCTCCGCAACCCCACCCCACATGGCTCACATGTGCCCCTGGGGGTTGGGGAATGGACTCAGGCTGCTGGATCGATAGCCAAGGCTCGCTCCTCAGAGTGTCTTTTCCTGCAGCCATGGGGAGGGAAGAAATGATGGCATTTGGGCCAGCGAGACAGGAGGACACACACAGCACACCCAGATCAGCCAAACAGCTCTTCTTGGTAGAGCCAGACAGTAGAAGGAAATAGAAGTCCAAGGCTTACTATTTGCCAGGCCCCTTACAAGGGGACTGACCAGGGAATTGATCATTCACTGAACACTACTGTGTCTCTGGCACACGGGAGTTGCTTTATTCATTTATTTATATTATGTCTGACACAACCCCTACCCTACAAGGCTGCTTGCAGAGCTGGGCTGGACTGGAGCCTCTGGAGGCAATGTGACAGCCCATCCTTTTAGCCACAGTGCCCCGCTGCCAAAAGGAACTCCGCCAACTGAGCCTCTGTGGCCCCTTTTCCCCACCTGCTGCCCCTGCCTGCACAACTCAGGCCTCACCATCAAAACCCATCAGCTCTGGATCCTGAAGCCCACACAGCAGCCTTGGCATCACTGGGGAAAAGACAATGAAAGCTGAATAAAATCGGCAACACTTACATAACCTGTGAGATCTGACCAGACTCCCAGATGCCCTGTCCTGAAGGGTCAGGAGGTTCCTGGAAACTCTCACTACAGGCCTTGGCCAACCTGTCCAGACCGTCCTCTCTCACTGCATGGCTCCCACCCTCAGTCCCAAGTCCTGGGTTTGTGATGCTGGAGACCACAGCTGCCAAGTGCAGAAGCAGCTGTGGGCCCAGCAGCCAGTCAAGCCCTCCGAGCCCCTCCACTGCTGGGTTCATTGAAAATAAAAAGATTTCAATGATATATGACCGATAACTATGGCCATCAAAGCCAGATCGGATTTCTTCCTGGTTGATGAGCTCAGGGCCCTTTTCATTCTGAGATCCGATCCACAAATCTGTAAAACAATTCCCTCAGCATCTCATCTTGGGATCTTGCTGCAAGTTCAAGCTTGGGGGCAAGAGAGGTGGAGGAAGCAGGCGATCTGTGCCTGGGGCAGCACAAGTGGCCCAGGGACTTCAGGTTGGAACCTGCCTGGACACTGGCCTGCTGTTGACCTAGAACATATCCCTTCACATCTCTGGATAGGTAGTTTCTTCATCTGCCAGATGTGGAGGAGGAAGAGACGCTCTCTAAATCCTCTGCCTCTGATTCTCAGTCACCACCCATTTGGGGAAGGCAGAGGAAAGGCAGCTGGATGCTGGGAGAGGCTCCCCTTCACCTCTCTACGGAATCACTGGTGGGAGCAGCATGCGGGGGTCCTGCTGTCTTTGGAGGGGGCACACACAGGGGCCAGGCCAAGTGTCAGGAACAGCTAAATAGCCAGTAGCTATGTGCTGGGTGCCATCAGCTTTGCTGGGACACAGCAGGTGGTCACTGGCCAGTTCCTAGCTCTGGGGAAGTCTTGGGAGACTGTAATCCCTCCCGCAGTCCCAGCAGGCCCATACCACAATCTGTGGGTCCAGGGATGTTGCAAAACTCTTTCTTGCCCCATACCACCCAAAGAGAAGCTGGAGAATACACGGGATGCTAAACGTGCTCAAACCTGCTGGGGGACCGCCATGAGGGGTTCAGGATGGAGCTCTGGGAGGGGGCTGTCCCCTCAGCCTCACTGCCTGGGAAGGAGGAGAGAACCTTAGGGCAAATCTCCCTCTGAGAACTTGGGGCTCCCCCAGCCCCTACTGTCTGGGCCTGTGAAGGGCTGAGGAGGCCAGCAGCAGAGGGAAGGGGCGCAGCGAGGAGATGGTGGAGGCTGCCCTTGTGTTCCTGAGCCAGAGCCCTTCCTCTTCCCATCCTCAGTCCTCTCATGGGGGCGGGGAGCAGTGGGACTGCATCGTGTTGCCTCCATGTAGCAACTTCCAGATTGGGGATCATTTTTGCCTAGGTTTCTCCTAGGAATTATTTCCAATTTGCAGACATGAAAACCAAGACTAAGGAGGTGAAGGGACTTATTTGAACCTGATTTCTGATAAGCTCAGTACCCTTCTGAATGTGGTAGAATTTGAGTCTTACATATTTGAATATCTCAGCGTTCTAAAGTCAGTCCTCCCAACCCCCACTTGGGTGCTTGTGCATGCATTCACATGTGTGTATACACACACACACACACACACACACACACACACACACACACAGCATCTGCCCTTCTGGTCACAGCTCAGTTACAGCACTGACTGGCTATGGATTCCAGGGAAGGGAGGACGGTGGGATGGAACTGACCCAGTTCACCATCACGGGTCCCCAAGTGGAATATCACCTTTGGTGCCCACACAGGTCAGTGGCTCCAGGGAAGCCTTCTTGGCTCCCTAGCTGAGTGAGAGCTCAGGCATGGATAGTGAGGAGCAGGTGTCTGTCCAGGAGGTGGGCTCAGTACCCCTCACCCCTTGTGGCCAGCACAGAGGCCCTTGCTCTGGGATGGGGGGAGTCTGACACCAGCCTAAGCCTCACCACTTCCTCCACAATGATGCAGTTACCTACAGAGACAGGAGTTGAGGGTTGCTGCTCAGCTGCTGGGGCAGAGGACTGGGGATGTAGAGGGAACCCTCAAGCACTGCCCTCCCCCAACTCTGCTGCCTTTCTCATAAAATGCTTGGGAGGCTCAGGGCCACAGGAACTAACAACTGTTGCTCCCAGTCCCAGAGACAAGGAAAGTCCCAGCGAAGCTACCTGGGCTCAAAAATCCCAGACCCCTTCCCTCACACCCCCACCCTGCTCAATGGTGGAGTGCTATCCAAAGTCTCATGGGCATGTCCCTCCCCACGCACCAGTTCTTCCATGATAATGGGGCTCTGTCTCCTGTTTGAACTTGGGCAAGTATTTCCTTCTCCTGGCTCTCAGTTTCCCCTTCTGTCAAATGGGAGGGCTGGCCTGAGCTTTCAGATACCTCGTAGTTCTGTCATTTGGAGTCCCTAGAGGGCCAGGACACAGGAGTGTGACACAGGAGAGAGGAAAGGAAAATTTAGGGCTGGGGAGCCAGTTGAGAAGGTGAAAAGTGTTGTAGATTCCCTGGGTCCTACCTGAGGCAGCAGCCTCCATCTGCTTTCAGCAGGTTCCAATCCATGCCACAGCCAGAAGCCAGAGACACCCCAGGACCAGAGGGTCCTGCAGAATGGGATGAGGGTGGGGCAGGCAGTAAGGGGGCAACATTCAGGAAGTCAGTCTCTCGACCCAACCTGAGCCAAGGGTATTCTGGGCCCCTCAATACTCCAGGACTGGAGAACCAGCTGGAGGAGGTGAAGGCTGGGAATGCTTTGAAAGTAGGTCTGCAGTGGGAGAAATAAGGTACTTAAGCTACTTAGTCTTTGAGGCTGGTGACAGCAGGAATGGTGCAAATTGATTCTGATTCAAGTGCTGTCCCAGGGAATGTGGTGGCAGGGAAGGCAGAAGCCTCCTCTCCTGGACGCAGTCACCTCCAAGTGCACCCCGAGCATCAGAGCAACTTCTGAGCAGTGCAGCAGCGCAGCCACCGCATTACCCCAGACCTGGGCTCAGCTGCCCATTCTCCATATCCCCTCAGGATGGGAGGACATCCAGGACTCTCTAATCCAGAACCAAAGCTCCCCATCCCCAGGCTCCTCCAATCCAGGGCACTCCACTTCTGGGCAGGACAGCTCCTAGCTTTTTCTGGGGTGGGGGACAAGAAAAGCACCCTTCCCTTTCTCCATATTTGGGGTCAGGCCCTGCCAAATCAAAGCCCTGGTGTCAAAGTCCCTCAGCCCCCTCCCCAATTCATACATTTACTAATTCATTCACTCTCACTTCATTCACTTGTTGGTGCTTCCTATATATAATAAAATAAAAACTTCAAAGTTCTGCCATAAGCACTGGAGCATATTCCTAGAAATGTTTCTATATCGCAACCTGAGAGAATGTCGATCTACATAGTGTGAAAATGACTATGGCCATGATTTAACTTGTTTTTTCTTTCAATAATTCCCTTTTGTTTTTCTCTGATAATTCCTTTCTTTCCTGAGCCTCTTTAGAGCAACACTTAACAGGATTGCCTCTGTAACTCCTTATTCCGGTCCCAGAAAATGTAACCTCAAAATCTCTGGTATCCACTGGCTTTTTCCAGTGTGGAAGCGTTCCCCTCGACCTCCCATAGATCATTGGAAAGCACCTGAGGCCTCGATTCTAATACCTGGTTTGTCACTAACTGGTGTGTGGTTTGGGCTTGTCCCTTGGTCTCTGTGAGTCTGCTGCATCCTCATCTGTCACGGGACTGGACTTAATTGAGCTCTGTGGTCCATAGAGACTTGGCCTCTTCACGTCCTCGTTATGTCAACTGGACATCAACTTAACAGAGGACTTCCCTGCAAAATGTCCTCTTCTTCCCACAACAGGCTGTTTCTGTATAGGCATGTTTCATGCTAAGCACTTCTTTCTGGGGGAAGATGGCAGAGGCCATTTTTCTGCTGAGATGAAGTGATTTGCAGAGCCACCTGGCCCCTGAAGAGGGAATGGTGAGATCCAACCACCCAGCGTTCAGTGAATTGGAGCAGGGATCTCGGCACATGGGATAGTGGGTAGGCTCCCCTTAACCTGGGGCACCTGCTGTTCCTCCAGACCGCAGCGCATGCTCTTAGCTCCTCCTCTTACCTGGCTGTCACCACACTCCTGGCTTAATCGCCACATCGCTCTCACTGCAGCTTCAGGTAGCCATCAGCAAGGCCTGGCAATATCCACTGGTTTGGTTTGGTTTATCTTTGCAGGTGAACTCCGTAAGGGCTCTGCCGCGCTCTCCAGCCTTGTGACCCTTACCTTCCAGTAACCATACAAGAAGCGCAGCCACCAAAAGTCCTTAAAACAGCAGGAAGAGTGGGCCTGTCCCCTTCTGTGTGGCTGCCTATCTGCTGAGGAACATCTGGGCCTCGTTCCTCCAAGTCCACTGGAGGGTCCAGAAGAGGGAGTCAGAGGTGTGTTCTGGTGGAGCGGGAGGAAAGGCAGAAAGCCTTTCCGACAGCTATGGAATACCATTAGCCAAGGCCTATTTGGCCCAGCACAAAGCAAAAGATGTGTAGTTTGCATAGAAGGTATTGTGAGACTGCTTCTCAACAGCCCCAGCAGCATGGGAACTAGCAACAGCACACTTCTTGCCTCATCAGCTGCCCTGAGATGGAAAACTCAGTGGAGACAAGACCCTGATTCTGATGAATGAAGCATGTGGTCCCAATGCTGGAGCTCCTCTGGCAGGTTCTAAAAGCACAATACTGAGCCGCAGTGCTCTGCTGGACAGTACTGGCGGGGACTCAGTGAGCACTACTCAGATCCACACCTGACCCTGTTGGGTTGAGTCAGGCTGGGCTTTGGTCTGCACTGTGGCATCTGTGTTCTTTGAGTTCACATCATGACTGTGGTGACTTCCCAGATACCATCTCAGGCTTCAGCTAGCACATCCTATTTCTTTTCTTCTATGAAACCCAAATTGGACTGACCTCACTTCAAATACACTGTCCCATTTTGTCATCCTATCTTACCTCGGGGAAACTGGAGACTGATGGCCAGACCAATTCTGTTGAAATTCTTGCATAGAGCAAACCTGTGCTCATTTTTAAGTGGCCTGGGAGAGGCTCCCAGCCATGGTAAAGCCCAGTCTGTGTCTTCACAGTGCTTATACAACATGTTTCTGTGTATAAATGCATGATATAGATTTATGTATGTTGCTATCACCATCTGTTGAAGGCCAATATAGCTGGTGGACAGGTCAGAGAGAGAAAATGGAAGTCTTTTTGGTGATTATTAAAGCAAAATACATATTAAAAAATAAAGTTTTTCTTTCACTGCTTTGTTTCCTATTTCTGCACCAATCCCTTGACAGTTTAAAGAACTGGAAAGAGAAAATGGGAAAGATAATCTGTGTTTAAGAAGCACATAGTCTAATGCTTGAACTCTTAACTTTAAAAGATTAAGGTTTTTCTTTGCCATTTTGTCAGAATCCCTAGTCTGAAAACATGAAAGAATGGTTTTTAAACTTGGTGTACCTTAGAAGCAGCTGTGGAGATGATAGGAGCTACATACTGCTCTCCAACCCCAGAAGATTTAGGTGGTGTGGGCTCTAGAATCGCCTTTTTATAATATAAGCACCACAGGTGATTTTAGTACATGAGGGCTGCAGATCACACTTTATAAAAACAGTGTTCTGTTTTTATAACATATTGAATCAAAACTAAAAATCCATTTAAGACGCTTGAGCCAAAAAGTATATCATTCCGTCAACATTGACATAAAATTTTGAAAATGCTTTTTGGGAAAAGTTCTTAGCTACATGCTTTTGATCCCCAAGATTAAAATAAAGCTATCACTTCACAATTATTTACTAGAAACATTTAAAAAAGAAAACTAGGTGGGAGGTGCAGTAAGATCATGGAATACAACTCTCCAGCAATGGTCTCCCTGAAAGAACACCCAATGGAACAAGTACCCATGCAAGAAAACACTTTCACAAGAGCTAGGTAATCAGGTGAGAGATCAGAGCACCTGGTTTTAGCATAATAATAAATGCATTGAAGAAGGCAGGAAGGATGGTTTTGCATTGCTTCTGACACCTCTCTCTGAACCGCAGGAAATGCATCTTTGAGAGAGAATCTAATGGCTTGGAGACAAGGAGGAAACTGGGTACCAGTCTTGCCATAGAGAAACACACCCCTGAACAGAACCCAACAGCGCTTGATTCCAGGCTGATGTCCACAGAGGCAGCATTTAGACTCACCCTGGGCCACAAGGGAATCAGCTGCCCCTGGAGGAGAACCCACCAAAGTTCTGGTCAGCTTTATTACTGGAAATTAATTGGGCTTCAAATAAATGTCACGGGCAGGCAGGCTGTAGTGACCACAACACTCCTTGGGCAAACCCTGATGTTGCGTAGGTCTGGAAGACGCCGGACTTGAGGTCACAGCCAGTATGACAGCAGCAGCTGCAGCAGCTATGGGAATGCTTGAATCACCCCTCCCCATACTCCAGGCAGTGTAGCCTACAGAGAGATTCCTTTGGCTTGGGGGAAATAGAGGAAAGTAAGCTAGAGGCTTTACCTGGGAACCCAGAGAACAATTCCTGATCTTCCCCAAGTCCAAAAGGGCTGGGGACCTGGGAATCTGTAAGGATTGCAGTGTACCTGGGCCTAGGGTGCCCTGTAGTACAAAAATGGCTGTAGTGACCACTGGCTTAGGGAACTCCTCAGCCCACTTTGAATTCCTGGAAGGCCCTCTGAAGGATAGGTACAAATGACCTGACTGCAAAGGCTGGAATAAATACCTTATCCTTCAATGCGCAGATACTGACAAATATCAACATTATCAAGAACATTTAAGTTAATATGACCTCACCAAAAAGACCAAAATAAGCCACCAGTCACCAACCCTGGAGCAATGGAGATATGTAACTTCTCAGGAAATTGAGAATAACTATTTTGAGAAAGCTCGATGAACTTCAAGATAACAGAAACAATTCAAAATTATATCAGAAAAATTTGACAAGAATACTGACGTAATAGAAAATAGCAAACAAATCCTGGAGCTGGAAAATGCCTGAGTGAGTGTCAGTAGAATTGATTAAGCAGAAGAATTAGTGAGCATTAAAACAAGCTATTTCAAAATACAGTCAGAGGAGAAAAAAGAAAAGAATAATGAGAAGGAACACAGAATGCTTAAGAGATCTAGAAGAGGGCTTCAAAAGAGAAAATCAAAGATTCACTGGCCTTAAATAGGGGGTTAAGAAGGAGCAAAGAGTACAAAGCTTCTTCAAAGAAATAATAACGGAAAACTTTCTAAACCTAGAGAAAGACATAATATTCAGGCACATCGTAGAAGACAATGGATCTAGAAACAGAAATACCATTTGACCCAGCAATGCCATGACTGGGTACCTACCCAAAGGATTATAAAACATTCTATTATAAAGACACATGCACACGTATGTTTGCTGCAGCACTGCTTACAATAGCAAAGACTTGGAAACAAACCAAATGCCCATCAAAGATAGACTGATTAAAGAAATTGTGGCACATACACACCATGGAATACTATGCAGCCATCAAAAAAAGGATGAGTTCATGTCCTTCACAGGGACATGGATGAAACTGGAAACCATCATTCTCAGCAGACTGACACAGGAACAGAAAAGCAAACACCGCATGTTCTCACTTATAAGTGGGTGTTGAACAATGAGAACACATGGACATAGGGAGGGGAACATCACACACTGGGGCCTGTGAGGGGGTGCGGGAGCTAGAGGAGGGATAGCAGTGGGTGGGGAGATTGCGGAGGGATAGCATTAGGGGAAATACCTAATGTAGGTGATGAGGGGTGGAGGCAGCAAACCAAAATGGCATGTGTATACCTGTGTAACAATCCTGCAAGATCTGCACATGTACCCCAGAACTTAAAGTAAAATAAAGAAACAAAGGAAGATACACCTTGGAACGTGGTTTGTTCCCAGTAATTTGAAACATTTAAAGAATGGTTAAATGATCACTTGACACTTATACTACAAACAGGAATAAGACAGCCTCAGTTAAACATCATTGCTTTGAGAAGATAAATTTTAATGCCAATTTTCAATCTTTAAAATATTTGGGTTTATTTTGAAAAACAATCCTCAATCTTAAAAAGATCATGGCAAAGAAAAAAAAGGATGATAGTCCTTTTGCTTTTTCAAATAACAAACATGGAAATGAATTCTTATGAATGTCAACAGTCAATGTAGTGTGGCATATTAAGAATTTACTTTCATATAATGGCTAAGTTTAGAGAGATTATATTTCATGAGAAAATATGAATTTTAATGGATTTTCTATTCTGTTTTTGGAAACGGCTGTGTCTTTTAGTGTATTCTCCTCCCTGTCCACATATGTGGAATCTGCCTATTCTCTTCTCTTCTGAAATAGTTTAAAAGACTCAAAGAGAATGGCCTGGGCTTTGCATATCCTTAGTCTGATAGCCATTTCTCTAGCTGCTAACTTAAATAGATATTAGCAGCCTCTATCATCAGCCAGAAATTAACAAAGTCACAAAAATTAGCAAAATCTCTGTTTTGCTGTGGCCTTATGCTGACAGTCTTATGTTAAAGACAAAAAATTTTCATTGTATAGATTAAAATTAACTTTGGCAAAAATTGAAATGTGGGCAGGGATTTTTTTTTTGTTCAACAACAGAAACTAGCAAAAGCAAAGATACAGTAAAAATAGAAAATTTCCAGTGTACAGATGTAAACATAATAATTGACACAGCCAAGGATGATTAATGAATAACAAAATGTTGAGGGATGACCATTTGAATACAGGTTATTAATACTTTTAACAATGATTTTTCCAATTACTTCAGTATAAATAATGTGTCTCTGAAAGGTACAGATCTGGCATCACGATCATGGTGATAGACAGATGGTGGAACAGTCCTGATATCACGATCATGGTGATAGAGAGATGGTGGAGCAGTCCTCATATCACGATCATGGTGAACAGACAGATGGTGGAACAGTCCTGGTATCACGATCATGGTGGTAGACACATGGGACCGTCTCTACCTGCAGATGGGTGAGATAGCATTGACCCTGCAGTGTTCCTGGAAAAACGCTTAGGCTGAATTTAATCATGAGGACATTTCCAGACAACTTTAGAGTACAGATCATTGAGCCAGACAGCTGACCTGTCCTCTACAAACAAGCCCATGTCACCACCATCAACGACAACAACAAAAAGATGAGGAGACACTTTGGGTTCAAAAGAACTAAAGAAATGTGGCTACATTATCTTTTTACTCTTTTTCAACCCAAAATGTCTCTTCTCCTTTTATAGTTGTGTGATTTGTGGTGACATGGGCTGTCTGAAGGAGACAGGTCAGTAGTGCTGTTCACTGTTCTACATTCTGAAGTTGTCTGGAGATTACCTCAGGCTATGAAAGTCAGGTTAAGCGTTTTCAGCAAGAACATGGTGTTGTTCATACTCTGCACTGGCAGAGTCCCATGTGACATGTTGTCTTAGTGTGGGAATATGACCCCTATCCGGGAGACCAGGTGGAGTCTTAACACTGTCATAGTAAGAAACCTACTGTCCATGTCCAAAGTCAAGCGAACATGCTCTTCTACAAATAAAAAAAATGGCACATGTGTAAGCCTGGCATGTGTAATAAAACCCAAGATACACTGTATATGTTGAACACAATATATCCAGTGAGTACCAGAAAACTTCAGGCTCTTCTGCTTCCACCAGCTCCATGCTGAGCCTAAAAAAAAAAAAAAAAAAAGGAAAAACCAAAGAATAAGTCAGGGAAAATAAGACACCGCAGCACCCCAACTAGATTTCATGGGTATCACCAGAAAGTGGTTAACAAAGAAAAAACATAGATCCATTAATAATGCAACAAATTATTGCCTTATGCTGGGATGGACAAGAGTAGGGTAAAAAGAATGAAAGAGAAAGAGAAAGTAAGCTCAGTGAAGCATCCAGGTGACACACTGATGAGGGAGTAAAAGCACACTCTGAGTTAGTGCCCTCAGGACACACAGTGTACACTGATCATAAAAACAAATAGGGTCAAACTACAGTAGTTAGTAAATGGTAAGGGGAGGAAGAAATGGAAACCTAAATATCTACTGCAATGAAAACCAACAGCAATGTTAGTAGGAATAATTCAGGCTTCGTTGAAAAGGTGGTATCGATATTGTCAGCCCACTCTGTTTTCCCTGTACCTGGCGTCTCCAGGTGTCAACACAACATTAGCTGTTCACAATTGCTCAAAGTTACCTGGGGAACAGTGGACCTCAGTCTTCTTCCTCTTCTTGGTTCTTTTTAATCTCTGCAATAAATTCAGATAGGGACAGACAAAATAAGCCATTACCCTACACCCGTAACAGTCCACTGTCTAATCCCTGCACAGGGACCTCAGGCTCCTCAGCATGAGAACAGGATAATGTGAGAGACAGACTTCAGGAGGTCTCAAGGCCAATCATGATAGAGATTCCTTGGTTTGTGTCTCAGAACCAATGGTGAAACGTCCCTATTCTGGCAGACCATTATCCCTTTATCCCAAGTTTGTACAAACAGGAAAGAACCTCACAGACATGCATGGGGAACAAAACTCCTGAGGAACGTGGTAGCTGGCAAGAGACTTTTAATTCAGATTGAGACAACTCATGGACATGCGCTGCACTGCTTGGTGTGAGTTGGCAACACCTGCGTTGGGTTTCAGTGTCCTGAAAGTCGGTGCAGGGTGCGACGGGCACGGCCTGAGACTAGAGAGAGAGCAAAGCTCACTGAACCACCGCATGCCCATGCTTCAGACTGGAATCCAGAGTGATTGACATCTACCCTGATGGACAGGTTCAGCCCACAGTGATGACAACTTTCAGCCTGGCCAGCGGAGTACGGCCCGAAGTCTATGGAGTCTATCTGGGACACAAATTGGAGCTTTATCAACTTCACGATGGAGTACTCACTGCCTATGTCGACAGCCAAGTTGACTTGCTGCTCCTTTAATGAGTGCAAGTTGCTCCTGTAAGACTCATTGAAGGCAGATGTGCCAGGAGGAACTGAGAGAGTGGAATAACCATCCCAGGACTCCGGAGGGGCTTCCTCCTCCACAGACTCCTGCAGATTCCTGATGAGCCAGGCAGGACAGGGATGACAGAAGATGAAACCAACAGAGATTAGACAACAAAGTCTCCCAGCTGATCTGATGGAAGTCAGAATGGAATGGTCACAGAAAGCAAAGGCATTTTTCCTTCAAGAGAAAAAAAAAAAACTATCCTTTCTAAATGCAGGGTGGAGGGTGACTACCCTGGGGACAGAGCACAAATGAGCAGCATGTGCTCAGTGCATTTGCCAGAAATGAGCCACTGCAGGCCACCGACTCTCCCTGTAAACTATCATCATGACTTGCAGCACAAGAACTCACATGGGGCTTCAACTGCCTCACATAAATTGTCTTGAAGTTTACATGCGGCATTCAAGTGAACAGAGCTCCTGAGGCATTTCAGACACCCAGATCTTGTGTATTAAGGGCCTCCCTTTTCCAATATTTTGATATCATATGTCTATGTTTTGAATTCCTTCTCTTCACAAATCCTAGCAAACATGCTCACAACAAATGGGCAGAAAGCATATATGCGTCTCTCCCTGGGTTTAAACACAGTGGGGAGAACAGGTGAAACCAGGAAATCCCTGTTTGCTGAGTTCACCTGGCTCATCTGATTGCAGGTTCCCATCTTGGGGGGAGTGAGAAATTAAAGCCTATACAAGTGCCACCAATCACCCACAACATTGTTAATAAGGACAATTTGTAGCTGCTGAAGGGAAGAAAGAGTTCTAGTCATCACTTCCTCGTTTTCCCAGGATCTGCAGTCTCCAGGTGTCACTATTGAACTAACAGCCCACAACTCCACAGCATTACCTGGGGGGCACTGGCCCTCTTTCTTCCTCTTCCTCATCATCACTTTGACTTTCTGTAAATAAATTCAGAGACGCAGGTCACATTAAGCAAATCACACTTCGCATATGACCAAATCAGTATTTAGTCATAGCAGAAGCACAGAAATATTCTCAGGGCAAGAATACAAATTCTGACAGGACCATTCCAGGGTGCCCTAGATGAAGCCTGGTGAGTAGGTGAGCCTGCTTTCCAGACACACAGGCCAAAATCTCCCTCTACGGGTAGACCATCATGCCATATTCTCTGTCTGAGTCCATGCAATGTTAAACCAAATTTTTTCCCAGAAAATCTCCAAAAATGAGTCAAACTCTTTTCTGGGAGTGTTGCTGCAATACTGACTTATCTCACCAGGTACCAAGGTCCATTGAATGGTTAGAGGCATCTATACATGAAACTGGACTGATATGTAAATTCTAACAGTATTTGCTTTAAAAAGAATCTGTGAGCTTTGCTCAGTGCCAGTATCGTAGCCAATGAGTTTCATCTGAGATGAGATTATTGCTAATTGAAAACTTTTCCCAATACCCCGCCGTGACGACATGCAATAGAGTCGGCATTGACAATTTTTGACAGTCTCTAGGGAGACTGAATAAAAAAAGACAAAACAAAAACAAACATAAAAGAATCTGTGGGCCAGGCATGGTGGCTCACGCCTGTCATCTCAGCACTCTCAAAGGCCGAGGTGAGCACTTCATGAGGTCAGGAGATCGGGACCATCCTGATCTCCTGAAAGACAGGGTGAAAGCGTGTCTCTACTATAAGTACAAAGAAATTAGCTGGGCATGGTGGCACATGCCTGCAGTCTCAGCTACTTGGGAGGCTGAGGCTGCATAATCACCTGAACCCAGGAAGAGGAGGTTGCAGTGAGCTGAGATCGTGCAACTGAACTCCAGCCTGAATAACAGAGGGAGACTCCCTCTCCAAAAAAAAAAAAAAAAAAAAAAAAAAAAAAAAAAATCTGTGATTTCAAAGGACAAGGTGGGTGAACCACTTAAAGTTTGGAGTTCAAGGCCAGCCTGGCAAACATGGTGAAACCTCATCTGTACTAAAAATACAAAAATCAGCTAGGTGTGGTGGGGGGCAATCATGGTCACAGCTACTCAGGAGGCAGAGGCAGGAGAATCACTGGAGTCCGGGAAGTGGAGACTGCAGTAACCCAAGATGGTTCCACTGCATTCCAGCCTGGGTGACAAAAGGAGACTCCATCTCAAAAACAACAAGAAACAATACATGATGCTATGAAGAAACATCAGGTCGGCCATTGCATGGATGGAGTGGAGAGCCAGGGCTGAGCCTTGCTTTATGGAAACATATTAGCAAGGTAAAGAGGAAATGTTTTCATCCTAGTTTCAAGGTGACTATGCAGCTAAGCAAGCTGACTTAGATCAAGACTGAAGCTCAGAGCAGTGAAACCTGAGGAACAATCTCTCCAAATAAATAGGCAAGGCTCCCAGTTTCCTTAAAAATAAATAGAAATTCCAGGGACATTGTTCAGGGAAGATGACCTAATGACATGAGAGATACTGAATCAAAGCTAGGAGACCTGACAGACACCTCCTGTACACGTCCTGCACACAGGTGATCATGAGCTTGTCACAGTGGTCTGGGGTCTGGTAACTTGATTCTTAGGCTTCGGAGACAAATGCATGGCATGAGCTGAGGATGAGATAAAAATTCCCTGGTATCTGTGTTTAGTATCCCATGATAGGTTTTTATTCAAACCGATTTGTGTGTATAGAGCCTGTCTTCAGAGTTATCTTCCTCAGCCTAGACAGAGGTACCAAAAACAAGGAATGTAGAGGTCACCTGAAAGAATGATTAGAGCATCCTCCACCACATCATGAGATGATTCACTCTCTACAACCAGCGCAGAGTTGACATTTTCTTCCCCAAATGTGATTTCATTGGTGTCTCTGTGAGGCTGGCTGGAGTCAGTAGGGCCATAGCTATTTGAATGAGTGATTACACATTTCTCCAGTGAGTCCTCAGGGACTTTCTTGACTTCAATCTTCTGCACCTCCCTGATGAGCCAGATGGGATAGAGATGACAGAAGATTAAACAAAGAGGGATCAGACCCCAGGGAGTCCTAGCTGGTTTTCACAGGAGGAATGAGAGTGGTCCCAGAAAGCAAATGGGAGGTTCCCTTTGAGAAGAAACAGGCAATCCCCCTCTCTGCAACAGAGCATGGCTGCCATGGGAACCGGAGAGAAAGACAGCAGCTGGTATTCATCACACTGGGCAGAAAGGAGCTGAGAAGAAAAGAGACTCAGTTATCCCTATATAATTCAGACACGGCATGCAGCATATACAAAGAACCACAACAGCTGCCACACTCTGTGTCTAAGTTGGGTTGAACTGAATGAACATATTGTGGCCAAGGGAATGCAGGCTTTTGGCCCATGGGAGACACCAGAGAGGGTGTGCTTCTAGACCTTTTCCGTACTTTATCACCCATTACTTACTCCTGATTATTCAGTGTTACCTGTGGGCACGTGATTCCTGTATTTTCTCAGCCTCCACAACGTGAACATCTTCATCCTCATCTTTGTCGTTTTCTGCAAGTAGAGATGTGTTCGTTCAGATATTTCCCATTTCACACTCTGCAAGGACAGTCAGCCCAATGTGCACAGGGACATGAACATCTGTGTATGGGTCCCCGTTCTACTGAAAGCTCTCATGTTTTCTCTTTAACAAAATGCCCCGGTATGGTTTCCTGATCCACCAGGCAGTGCATTTCTGATCAGGAGGCTCACCATCAAGATGAGGCCAAATGTTGAAAACACTTCTGCTCTCCACATCACTGGAGGCTTTTGCAGCCTCTCTCTGGACTTTGGCAGCTGTCTCTGCCATCCTGACACAGATCTGATTCCCAGAGACAGGCTTGGCATCCCGTCACAGTTCACATTTACAACCTATTTCTTTCTCTTAGGAGAGAATAAACAAACTTGTCCCACGATCCTCTGCACAACAGGTGACTTCACAGGCCCTCCAAGTGGCTTCTGCTATGTTATTCAGGGACATTCTCTCCACGGGGCGTGCTCCAGTCTGAACTACTTCCTACCACCAAATGCCCACATATCAAGTGCTTTCTCCAACACCACAAAGAGAGGGGCTGTATCTCATTGTGATAAACGGTCATGAGTATTTGCACATTTGAATGCTTCAGACCCTGCAAGATGTCTGCCTTTGCCAATGGAGAGAGAGAAATTTACCTGCCTTTGCAGATGAAGACAGAGAAAGTCAGGAAGGAGAAATCAATTACTCACTGACAGTTCCTAGGAACACTGCTGAAGATACAGCCTGGGAACCTTCATTCTTACTCCAGAGCTCTTTCCATTCCAACAACCGCCTCCTGTCACAGCTTCCTTCATGTCCTTTACAACTGGAGAGATGCTACCTCTTGCTCCAAAGACCACCATCCATCACGGAAGGAGGGACATTTACAATACTGTGACCTTCAACCCCATGGGTTTCCCATCTGTTTTCTCGTTCAGAAAGTCCTAGTCACGTCATGGCCACATATGTTTAGTGGAAGAAAACACCACTGATAAAACTGTCAGTGTGGAAGTATGGAGGTCTGGACTCTTTCATAAGGCCATAAAGGAAATATGCACAGACTAATAAAGTTTCTCTTATGCTAGACACAGTAGAATGAAGAAGTAACGGACAGTGTTTACTCTATGCCAACAACTGTCTCCAAGAAGCAACTTGGATGAAGCTCAGGAGACTGGCCCAGGGTCCCTCCTCTATGCACTGCTGCCTCCACAAACTCGTGCGTGCTGTCGTTCTTCCTCTTAACCAATAAGAGCCTCTGCACAGAAAGCAGGACGTCCCTCTGACCAGAGTAATCACTGCTCTAGATGATGCCACTTACAGATACCACAGGTTATGTAAGGAGCAGAGTCCTCTTTAAGCTCCCGATAGCGGGTAGAGTGTGCTACCATCACATTTCCGCCAGAACAGAGCTTTCCCTACTGAGCCTCAGCAGAAGCCAGAACTGAATGGAAGTTCAGTAGCCTCAGACACTTAGAACGACAGAATAGATGCTACTTGTCTGCAGGATCTTAGGTGGTACAGAGGGGATTCCTGTAAACATGATTTAGCCTCTTGCTGAGAAACACAGGTGCTTCTGTGCCTGTGTCAGAAATCAACACCTGAGACTTTACCCTCAGTCCCACACCCGCCTTACTGCAGATGTGGAAAAGTTTCTACATTCTTTTGCCTCTCTCGTCCACCTTTAACAAAATATTAAAATACCCATTTATATTTTCCTAGATGTATGGCAAAAATGAAATTAAGTCTGATGAAGAGAGCTTTTAGTTTCTCAGAAGAAACACAGAACTTCGTTCAGGACTTTCATGATGGTGAACCTATGGAACTTACTTTCCGTCTTCAGCCTGCAGCCCGGGTAGTGGGCCACTTGACTTGTAAGAACTTTATTTTTGCTGTCTGTTTCTGTTCCTCCTCATGACGTTTCTGATCTTCTGTAAACAAATTCAGAAGAAAAGGTCACATTAAGCAAATCACACTTCACACAAGACCAAATCAGTGTCTAGTCATATCACAAAAATGAAAAATACTCTCAGTTTAAGAATGTGATATTCTGATGGAAATGTTCTACTGGTCCCTAGATTAAGTCACGCTAGAAGTAGATGAGCCTGCTTTTCAGATCCATGGGACAAAATCTCCCTCATCTGCTAGATCTTAATCATGTATTCTCTGACCTAAGTCAACACAAGCAATTAAAACCTCTTCCCAAAAATCTTCACACACTGCCATAACTACTTTCCAGAAGCATTGCAGCTATACTGATTTATCTCATCATATATGATGGTGAACGAATAGTTAGAGAAATTTACATAGGAGACTGGATTGACGGATGAATTCTAACAAACTTTACATAAGAAAGAATCTGTGGAGTCAGCAAAGCGACTCACACCTGGCATCGGAGAATTTAGGAGGCCCAGGAAGGGAGATCACTTGACCTCAGGAGTTGAAGACCAGCCTAGCCAACACGGTGAAACCCCGCCTCTACTAAAAATACAGAAACTAGCCAAGTGTGGTGGTATCCACCAGGGATCCCAGCTAACTGGGAGGCTGAGTCACCAATACAATGGTACTCTGTGCTCTTGATGGTGTCACTTGCCGATACCACAGGTTCTATTAGGAGCAGGGTCCCCCCCTTCAAGCTCCTCACAGTGGGTACTGTGTGCCATCACCACGTTTACCCCAGTGTCCCCAGAACACTGCTTTGCCTACTGGGCCTCAGCAGAAATGGGAACCGAATGGAAGTTCAGTAGCCTCAGACATTTAGACCAACAGACTAGATGCTACTTGTCTGTAGGATCTTAGGTGGTACAGAGATTCCTGTAAACATGATTTAGCCTCTTGCTGAGGAACACAGGTGCTTCTGTGCCTGTGTCAGAAATCAACAGCCTCTTGCTGAGAAACACACATGGTTGTGCACCTGTGTCAGAAATGAACAGCTGAGACTTTACCCTTAGTCCTACACCTGCCTTACTGCAGACGTGGAAAAGGTGCTACATACTGTGGCCTCTCTCATCCATTTTTAACAAAATGTTAAGGAAGCCATTTATATTTGCCTAGAAGGATGGGAAAAATTTAATAAATTCTGATGAAGAGAGTGTTCAGTTTCTCAGAGAAAAGACAGACTATCGTTGAGCACTTTCGTAACGGTGAATCTATAGAACTTCCTTCTGTCTTCAGCCGGCAGCCTGGGTAGTAGGCCGCTTGACTCATAAGAAGTTTATTTTTGCTGCATCTGTATTTCTCTTCCTCTTCGTGATCTTTTCGATCTGTAAATAAATTCAGAGGAGCAGGTCACATTGAGCAAATCACACTTCACACAGACCAAATCAGTGTCCAGTCATAGCACAAGGACATAAAATATTCTCAGCGTAAGAATGTGATATTCTGACTGGAATGTTCTATCGGGCCCTAGATTAAGTCACCTCAGAAGTAGATGAGCCTGCTTTTCAGGCCCATGGGACAAAATCTCTCTCATCTTGTAGATATTAATCATCTGTCCTGTGACATAAGTCAGTGAAAACAATTAAAACCTTTTCCCCCAAAATCTTCAAAAATTGCCCTAACTACTTTCCAGAAGGGTTGCTGCAATACTAATTATCTCATCATATGTCATGGTGAATGAATAGTTAGAGAAATTTATATAGGAGACTGAATCAAGGGATGAATTCTAACAACTTTTACTGAGAAAAGAATCTATGGAGCCAACATGGTGGCTCACGCCTGGAATCCCAGCACTTTAGGAGGGACAGGAGAGCAGATCCCTTGACTTCAGGAGTTCAAGACCAGCCTGGCCAACACGGTGAAACCCCGCCTCTACTGAAAATACAAAAGTTAGTCAAATGTGGTGGTGCCCACCAGGGACCCCAGCTGATTGGCAGGCTGAGGCAATAGTACCACGGTACTCCCTGCTCTTGATGGAGCCACTTACAGATACCACAGCTTCTATTAGGAGCAGGGTCCCCTTTAAGTTCCCAACAGCTGGTACTGTGTGCTATCACCGTGTTTCCCCCAGCATCCCCAGAACACAGCTTTGCCTACTGGGCCTCAGCAGAAACCGGAACTGAATGGAAGTTCGGTAGCCTCAGACATTTAGACCAACAGACTAGATGATACTTGTCTGCAGGATCTTAGGTGGTACAGAGAGGATTCTTGTAAAC